CACTTATGATTCTAGAGCGCAAAGTAGGCATTTTCGACCCTAGGGAGTAAATTAATTATTTTTATTGCCCTAGACAATAAAGTAGGATATTTATGATCCTAGGGAAAAAAGTAACTATTTTTTTACTCTAGATAGTACATACATTTACGATCATAGAGCGGAAAGTAGTTATTTTTGAACCTAGGGAGAAAATAGTATTTTCCCCTAGATAATAACGGAATATTTATTATCTTACGATATAAAGTAACTATTTTTTTACACCTTTGTATGTCCGAACAAACCGTATAACACGAGAAACGTAACGTATCTCTAGGCAGTACATAAAGTTATGATCCTAGAGCGCAAAGTAGGCATTTTCGACCCTAGGGAGTAGATTAATTATTTTTATTGCCCTAGACAATAAAGTACGATATTTATGATCCTAGGGAAAAAAGTAACTATTTTTTACTTTAGATAGTACATACATTTACGATCATAGAGCGGAAAGTAGTTATTTTTGAACGTAGGGAGAAAATAGTACTTTCCCCTAGATAATAACGGAATATTTATATTATCTTACGATATAAAGTAACTATTTTTTTTACACCTTTGTATGTCCGAACAAACCGTATAACACGAGGAACGTAACGTATCTCTAGGTAGTACATAAAGTTATGATCCTAGAGCGCAAAGTAGGTATTTTCGACCCTAGGGAGTAAATTAATTATTTTTGTTGCCCTAGACAATAAAGTACGATATTTATGATTCTAGGGAAAAAAGTAACTATTTTTTTTACTCTAAATAGTACATACATTTACGATCCTAGAGCGGAAAGTAGTTATTTTTGAACCTAGGGAGAAAATAGTATTTTCCCCTAGATAATAACGGAATATTTATTATCTTACGATATAAAGTAACTATTTTTTTACACCTTTGTATGTCCGAACAAACCGTATAACACGAGAAACGTAACGTATCTCTAGGCAGTACATAAAGTTATGATCCTAGAGCGAAAAGTAGGCATTTTCGACTCTAGGGAGTAAATTAATTTTTTTGTCGCCCTAGACAACGATATTCACAATCCTAGGGAGAAAAGTAATTCGTTATTTACTATAGATAATACATACACTTATGATTTTACAGCGCAAAGTATAGCTATTTTTAATCCTAGGGAGTAAAATAGTTCTTTTTTAAATCGTTTATTAAAATTCAAGATAAAATCCGTTGGATAAAATCTTGAAATTTTCAAGATTTTATCCAACTGTCTAATTTTTAATAACAATCCCTACTGATATTAGATAAGTATTTTTCAATTTAAACCAAGAAATAGTAAGTGGAAAAAAAACGCTACAAAATATGTACAATTTAAAAATAGTTTGGGAAAACTGTATGGAATGTTTAATATATATATATATAGAGTCTCATAGGTAATTCCTCTTGTAGCAGCTGATTATTTTCGATCGTGCAAGAAAATTGCACGCTTGATCCATTGAGAAGCAGCAAACACACATATATACACAAACACTATGGGGAGTTTGTGGTGTTATACTCGACTGGCACGGTAGGATACCACGATTACCAGCAGCAGACGAAGACCCGAGGTCAAAGGTCGTCCCGCCTCGACTTACCGGATAGTCTGAAAGTAATTGCTAACCGCGTCACAGGAAACTGTATCCTCCAATGAAAAATTCGCTTCACTACCTTGAATGAGCCTCTTCAGTGTACATCCCGGACGTTAAATGACGTTCACCATGGTTCCGCATTTTTTCACCCCCCCTCCCTCCCTTTATACCCAACCCTTTTTCACCTTAATACTCCCCCTGATATCTCTGACAAGCAGGGAATTACAATCAACGGATAAAAATGCCTTCTTTATCCGCAAATATCAAATGATGGATAATAATGATCATTATGTACAATTTATCCCTATAGTTTCCTTTCAAAAATATAGTTCCTTTTTTTTCCTTGGATCATAAATATCGTGTTTTATTGTCTAGGGCGACAAAAAAATTAATTTACTCACTAGGGTCGAAAATGCCTACTTTGCGCTCTAGGATCATAACTTTATGTACTAATTAGAGTTACGTTATGTTCCTATTGTTACATGGTTTGTTCGGATATACAAAGGTGTAAAAAAATTAGTTACTTTACTCCCTAGAATCATAAATATCGTGTTTTATTGTCTAGGGCGACAAAAAAATTAATTTACTCACTAGGGTCGAAAATGCCTACTTTGCGCTCTAGGATCATAACTTTATGTACTAATTAGAGTTACGTTATGTTCCTATTGTTACATGGTTTGTTCGGATATACAAAGGTGTAAAAAAATTAGTTACTTTACTCCCTAGAATCATAAATATCGTATATTCTCGTTTACGGCAAAAAAAGTGTGCTTTACTCCCTAGGGTCGAAAATAAGTACTTTGCGCTCTAGGATCACAACTTTATGTACTGACCAGAGTTACGTTATGTTCATGATGCTACATGGTTTGTTCGGATATACAAAGGTGTAAAAAAATTAGTTACTTTACTCCCTAGAATCATAAATATCGTATATTCTCGTTTACGGCAAAAAAAGTGTGCTTTACTCCCTAGGGTCGAAAATAAGTACTTTGCGCTCTAGGATCACAACTTTATGTACTGACCAGAGTTACGTTATGTTCATGATGCTACATGGTTTGTTCGGTTATACAAAGGTGTAAAAAAATTAGTTACTTTACTCCCTAGAATCATAAATATCGTATATTCTCGTTTACGGCAAAAAAAACTGTGTTTTACTCCCTAGGGTCGAAAATAAGTACTTTGCGCTCTAGGATCATAAATTTATGGATTGTCTAGAGTTACGTTACGTTTCTGTTATATATGATTTGTTCTGATGTATACAAAAGTGTAAAAAAAAGTTACTTTACTCCCTAGGATTATAAATATCGTGTTTTAGAGCGAGAAAAAAATTAATTTCCTTCCCTAGGATCGAAAAGTAGATACTTTGCGCCTTAGGAATGAATATTTTTCACAACTTGCAAAATAATTGTAAAATTGCTATACTAATTTATTAATTTGCCTGTACATGTGAAATTCACTAAATCTCTCTAAAACATCGTTTACCCATTTTGAGTAAAGATAGTTCGAGTGTGTATATATATACTAAATGTAAGAAGCTTATGTAAAGTCCTTCATCACTTCAAAAGCTTGCAATCAGCTTATATATTGAACGGCAAGGGGCGTGGATTTACTCATATGTTTCATATAGATATCGAGTAAATATTATATAGAAACGTGTTAAACATGAAAAAAAATAAATTAATATTGACGTGTATCATTTCCTCTTTTTTTTTAGTTTTATAAAAGCAATTCGTTATTTTTCTATGCTTGTTATGTCATATTTTTTTTCCCTCAAAACATGTATCGTAAATTTCGTCATTTTTAGATTATAAAAAATTCTTTAATATTGTATGAATTATCTCATATATAAATTTTAAATAAATGTAATAAATAATCTACTTTATCAATGAATAATATTTATTATTATTTATTATTATTTATTAATTATTTATTAATTATTAATTATTTTAATATTAATGATAATATTAATAATAATTAATAAACATAAATCAAAATCAAACAATAAATTGCAATTATTATTATTATTATTATTTGGATATTAATGCGCTACCACCTTGAAATTTAGCGTTATATAACTTAATACATGCACGATGGGCAATTTTCATAATTTTTTTTTCTTTTTTTTTAATTGCATTTATACAAGGAGGATGGGTGCAATTGTAACCGTATACTTATTCGTTTATATCGCTGGATCCTTCTTTGCGGTTACACGTATTGAACATTAAAAGCCAGTCTTCCGATAAATACCAACCCAGCATTCTCTCGCGGTTGTATACAATTAAAGGCAACTGCTATCGTGAATCAATGTTTAAAGGGGCAATGAGTACTACTTTGTTGATGTTTATGAGATTCATTTGATGCACATGGAGGATCAATATATATATTTTAAATTTCAGCTAATTTAAAAACAACAAAATTTTAATACTACTTCGATTTTTTTGATTTTATTTTTTATCCAATGATAAAAAATTATACCTTCTAAACGTTTACTGTATAAATTATTATTTCTATTAGAAATATTTTTTTTTTAAGTGCGTATCAGCTGCAATATGAATACAAGGAATTTTGTAAAAACCTTTCAAATTATTTTTAAATTGAAGCCATAAAAATCCCTGATCTTCGAATTTATATGTCATCATTTTAAAATATTTTTTTGGGAAAAAAAAATGCATTATATTTATATACGTGTGTCAAAGAAATCTCAATCTCTTGATCCTTCAAGTACTCTTGAATGAGGAACTCTATATGATATACGTTTCTTCAATAGAAATATAATGTAAATATCATTAAAGTCACATTTAATGTACTCTAACCGAAAATTATGATTCTGATTGAAAAAAGGACAACTTGATAAATAACCTAATAATAGATATTTACGAAACGCTTATGAAAGACGATTATTGATACTGTCACTAAGGGCGGGATAGTTTACAATGAGACCTAAAGATGTGTAAACATTTTTTAAGGTTCTCTATTATAGCGACATAGTCAAGAATTTTTCACACCCTACATCTTCCTTTTCAAATATACAATACAAGAAAAAAAAATATTTTTCTCCTTTTTCATTCAATAGAACACGAATTTTCTGTTACTTATTATTATATATAAATATTGCCTCACAACAATTATAACATTTACATATAAACATATATTTAGATATAATTAAATTTCAGACATAAATGTAAATATATTTAAAAAAAAAAATTTCGTATTATCAGAATAAATACTGATATTAATTGTATTTTTTTGTTGCGTATGGTGTACAAGGAAAAGTGTTAAAGAAAATTAACATTTTTTTTATCAGCCCCAAAAAAAAATTTCCTTATTATTCTTGAAAAAATTGTATATAAGTCTGGTTTAAATAATAGGAAATAACAGTAAGTACCAATCACATCAATCATGAAACGTGTCGTTATTGTTCTTTTGTGTGCGGGTTTGCTACTGTCATTTGTTTCGGCACAACCAGATCCGGAAGAGGAAACCGGCGACGAAGATGATTGGGATGATGATGGTGATGATGATGATGATGGCGAAACGACCGTAACTGATGAACCAGTAACGCCGGAGCCAGTGACGCCGGAACCAGTGACTCCAGAACCGGTGACACCTGGACCAGTTACTCCGGAGCCTGTAACTCCTGGTCCTGTAACACCTGAGCCTGTGACTCCTGGTCCTGTAACTCCAGAACCAGTGACACCTGGACCAGTGACACCAGAACCTGTGACTCCTGGACCAGTGACACCAGGCCCTGTAACACCAGAACCTGTGACACCTGGACCTGTGACACCTGGTCCTGTAACACCCGAGCCAGTAACACCAGGTCCTGTGACTCCAGGTCCAGTAACTCCGGAACCAGTGACACCTGGACCAGTTACTCCTGGTCCTGTAACACCAGAACCTGTGACTCCTGGACCAGTTACTCCTGGACCTGTAACACCTGAACCTGTGACTCCTGGTCCTGTTACCCCTGGTCCTGTAACACCTGAACCTGTGACTCCTGGTCCTGTGACTCCTGGTCCTGTTACCCCTGGTCCTGTAACACCTGAACCTGTGACTCCTGGTCCTGTTACCCCTGGTCCTGTAACACCTGAACCTGTGACTCCTGGTCCTGTTACCCCTGGTCCTGTGACTCCTGGTCCTGTAACACCTGAACCTGTGACTCCTGGTCCTGTAACACCTGGTCCTGTGACTCCTGGTCCTGTAACACCTGAACCTGTGACTCCTGGTCCTGTGACTCCTGGTCCTGTAACACCTGAACCTGTGACTCCTGGTCCTGTTACCCCTGGTCCTGTGACTCCTGGTCCTGTAACACCTGAACCTGTGACTCCTGGTCCTGTTACCCCTGGTCCTGTGACTCCTGGACCGGTTACTCCCTCTCCCTGTGTTACTCCCGCTCCAGTTACTCCTCCTCCAGTAACACCTCCACCCTGCGTTACTCCCGCTCCAGTGACTCCTTCACCTTGTGCTGTTACTCCTGCTCCCGTTACTCCTCCATCATGTGGTGGTACTCCCAGCCCCGTAACACCTCCACCTATTTGTCCTATCGTAACATGTCCTCCTGTAACTAGTTGTCCTATTATCACATGTCCTCCACCAACATGCCCACCTACTGAATGTGTACGTAATGGTAAACACTGCTCCGAAGATGAAGAGTGCTGCTCCAGGAAATGCCGTAAGTTACACTACTTTAAATTTGCCTTAATTTATTATTTTTATTATTATTTATATAATAATAAAACTAGTAATAATAATATCCCAATATTTAACTTTAATACTTAAAAAAATATATAATTTCTTTTTTTAGGGAGGACGCTGCTGTTCAGTTTCTGCTCGCATATTTAATTTTACAGATGAGATGAAATATAAAAATTAGAAATAGTCTCTTGTTATGTTTTTCATTCTATTTTGTATTTATTTACAATATTTATTGTATACGTTGTAAAAAATACAACACGTTTGAAGAAATTCTCTTAGGTACCTTTATTATATTTCACATATATATTCACCTCCCCTGACAATAAATGTAATTACGATACAAATTTTAATAAATTTTATTTTATGAAATATTTATTTACTCCTGTATTTTCTATCCTCCACAAAAAATCTTATTAAAAACTTGGAATTTTTAGAAAAAAAAAAAAAAAATTTGTCTCCAAATAAATCTTAAAGATTCAGTGAAAGAAAATATTATTTCAATTTTTATTGGCCGGTAAACTGAACGATATATATTTTTTTTTTTTTTTTGTCATCGTAAAGGAGAATAAAAAATGTCATTTCAAAATCATTGTGTATGTGATGATGGGCACTGTGACAAAAGATATTGAACATAAATCTTTTTTAGAGAAAAAAAAAGACATTAAACCCTAACTATAAAGCTGTATATTTATAATATTATTTGAAAATTGTTGGCCAAGTCTATCGTTCCTGTAAACTGGACAATAATACTTATTTTACGAAGCGGATGAAAAGCAATTGAAACTGTCTTCGGGGTCAGAACTATGTTTAATATAGCGTAAAAGACATTCAAAAACCCCTTAGGGGCCCTCATTTTTATTATTTGTGAAAAAAAGGGCATCTTGAAACGATTTTCGTGCGTAATGTAGAGAAAGTAACATGAAAATTGCAAACTTATGAGAGGCAGCATCCCTGAATCTTTCATTTTACTGTCTATCGTATATATATTTTTTTTTCCCTCAATTTTATATATATATATATATATATATATATATATATATATATATATGTAATACCTGATCTGGTCGCGCTGAGATTATTCGTGCAGCTGTCCCACGCGCTGGTGACTGGAATCGTAATTTTCGTTGCTTTACGACCTAGATCGTGTCTTTAAACGAGTTTTCTGATCGATTCACATTGCACGCCTCAAAAAACCATCCGACATTTAATCAAAAACATTGCTGTCATATTTTCTTCTTCTTCTTTTTTTTTTTTTACTAATGTCCAATACCAAAAATGTTCAAATTTTTTCGAATGATAGACAATTTTAGGCAAAAATAAAAATATAACTCTGGAAAAATAAGAATCAAGATTGGAAATTAAATCTTCTTTATAAATCCCTAATAACACAAGATATCTTGGGATATATTGATAATATCCCGCAGATATCCTAGGGATGTCCTATGGATATCAAAAGGATCTCTTGAGGATATCCAAAAAATTGGCGGTTTGGATATCCTTTGAATATCCTATGGATATCCTTTGAATATTCCATGGATATCCTTTGAATATCCCATGGATATCTGAGAATATCCACAGGATATCTTCTGGATATCTCTAGACTTTCATAAATGTCCTCCAGATATCCTATAGATATCGTCAGGATATCCCACAGATATCATCAGGATATCCCACAGATATTTTCAGGATATTCTCAGTATATCTTCTGGATGTCAAGAAGATATTTTCAGGATACTGTTTTTAAAGTCATTATGAGACTACGAGTGAGAATATTCTGTGAATTAAATTTTATATAAATAAAATAAAATGCAACTTGTTTTTCGAGAAAGTTTTTTAATTTGAAAAATTATTAACTAATTTTTTTCTCATTCGTGATTCATTCCTTTATTTATATGCTTAATATTGTCAGAAAATAAATTGTCTTTAAACAATATAAATTCTTCCCCGCAAATAACGAATAACTATTAATATTAATTATACATTAAGTGCATGAGTTTATTTAAAAACTTTGAAAAATGCGTTTCAAATCTTCATTTAAAATAAATTAGAAGCTCATAAGATTTTTGTTTTTTGTTATATTATTATTCATTTTATTAGCTTAACAATTTTAACTTTTAAAAATATATGTTGAGATATTAAATATCCCGTGAATATCCTAAGAATATCCCACGGACATCCTGAAGATATCCCATGGATATCCTGCGATATAATATCCAATAGATATTTTGTGGATGTCTTAGGGATATCCTGTGGATATCCTATGGATGTCCTGTTGATGTCCCACAGACCGGCGGTTTGGATATCCTAGGGATATCCTATGGATATCCCAAGATATCCTGGGGACCATTCTAGGATATCGACCATTGATATGGATATCCTATGGATATCCTAGGGATATCCTTTTGTTATGAGGGATTTTATTAAATTTTATAATAGATTAATAATAATTGCTGATTAATTAAATTAAAGATAGTGATTTAATTAATATATATAAGGTAATATACAAAGTTACTAAATTGATCAATATCTTCATTGCAAAAAAGAAAAAAAAATTTTTTTTTTTTTGGAAAATATTGCGTATATATTACTGAGATATAAACTATTATGATCGGACGTGGTTGATCGTGGTTAACTTTTTCGAAAGGTATATATATACTGTCGATGCAGAAAGCTCGTTTTCACTTAAGGTCAGCCCATGAAATAAGACTCGTGGGGCATAACAATACAATCATATCATCCCGCACCTCCATTACACCATTATAAATCATATTTCTTCTTATTTTCACGATCGTGGACCATTCGCAAAATATGCTATGACGTGCGCGTGCAACATTTGACGTGAGAGGTCAATAGGTCAACTAATAATAATCTAATGTTTGAAAAATTACAGAAATTTCATGATAAAATATATATTTTTATTATTTCAATCACGTTTCCCATGATTTTGTTATTTTCGATAACTAAATTTTTGTAAATATTTAATAATTTATTATTAATTTTATTAATTATTCTTTAAATATTATACGCCATATAAAATTTATTTAAATAACTTTGCCCGTAATAGAAAAAAATCAATTTTTAATTAATTTAAATTTCAAAATTTTTTAAATTAATTCTAAACTTTTGATTTTCTTTTTTAAATAAATTGACAAATGTTTTATAGTTTTAGTTAGATGTTTAATAATTTCAGTTACATTTTTTTGTTGCATTAATTTTTGTAATAAATTTTCAAAAGAATATAGAAAAAAAATTATATTAGATTTGAAATTAATAAAATTTTTAACAAGCATTTTATAAATAAATGGTATCTACAAAGATATAAAAAATTTAGTGAAAATAAATAATTTAATTATGAAACAAAAAAAAGATGTAAGAAACAAGAATTCTTAAAGGGCATGCGCTTTACTCTCAAGTCAGTTGGGTCGGCATATTGCAGGCGCCACGAAACATTTAAAACTCTCGGGAATATTTCAGATAATTTAAATAACAAACCGCTTTTATTGAATTCAATTAATATTTTAATTAATTCTATACGGATACTCATAAATCTTCAACAATTTGTATTTTCAATTTTCAAATTATGAATTCAGTTAATCGGAACACTTTTTCTTATGGCGTCATAATTCGCACAAATTAAAAAATTTTATTATTTAGTTTATTTTTATTTATTTTCATTTATTATTATTGTTAATTTATTATTAGTTAATATTAGCAATAATTTTGCTCATTATATTTTCAACTTAGTAATTTTTTTTTTCGAAAAAGCTTATTCTCTTTTTATAAAATATGAATACTTAAAACAGTTTTCATTTTTTAAATTTATTCCACAATATTTCAAAATTTTGATATTATTGCCCCGCTTCTCGTAATGTTATCAAAAGACGTAGATTTGAGAAAACGTGCGATATTTGATTTCCTGTCACGTATTAAGCGTATATAAGCTTTATTGCCTATAAAATTTTAATTAAACCAAAACCTAATCCAAAGGCGGTGCGTGCCCTCTCGCTTAATTATAAAATAAAGCCCAATAATGGTTTTGCAAGCAATTTCTCCACACTGCGATGGTTCTCAAAATATACACCTATATATATATATATATACGAAAAGAAAAAAAAATTAACGAAAGAGGAGGGGAATGAGAGATTTAAAATTTGTGACTGACACACAAACGATGCATCACTAAATTTCAATAACCATAAAATTCAATATCAAAATTCGGCTCTTTTCAAGTCCCCTTGTCATATGTATATATATATTTAATTTAAATTTTTCTTGATTATACAGAAGATCAATTAGCGTTGGTCGTAAAAAATGCGAAGTGTCGGTAATGTATTTTAATTTTATGGAATGGTAAAGTAGTTATTATAAAATATGAATAAACAAAAAATTTTTCTTTTTTTGGAATATTAAGTCGATTTATTATATAGCGTCTTTTTTTCACTGTTTGCTTTTGAAATAATAATTTCTAAATTAAAAAATATTAATATTGATCAATAAATATAAAAAGGATTTTTTTTTTGTTATATAAATAAATGTCATGACAAGTAGAAAAATAATGACAAAAGAGATTCGAGTTTCTTCCGCGTGTGTGTCAGGAATTTCGAGTTCAAAGCATTATCTACTCTATATTTCTCATTAAAAGATTCTGTTCCAATCAACGATGTTCATCGAACGTATAACGACTTTACTGGACTTCGTTATCGATCCACAATGATGACTGGAATTTAAATGGAAAACGATATCTGACAGTGGGAGTTCCATCGTAGGACAAATGAATACAAGAACACGAAGATTGGTTTATTGTGTTTTAAATCTTCACTTTTTTTTCATCCTTTATACTCGTTTGCTAATTACAAGAATATTCTCTCTATTTCGAAATTATTATAACCTGCATTCAGTAAAGCGAAATCTTTTATTTGCGTTTATATCTGAAACAAATAAAATTTATTTGAATCAAAAATAATTTATTGTTAATAAATATTTTATTTGAACCAAATAAAATTTATTTGAAACTAATAAATTCGGGTTCAAAAGGCAAATATATAAGTAAAATTAATTTTTAATTATTCTGATTGATTTTTTTCCTTCTCTTGTTTAAGTAAAGTAAGAAGTAAGAAATTGAAAGAAGGTAAAAAAGAAGTTTTAAGTATTATGTAAAGTGGAGAACAAGTTGTGACAAAAGAGGCACTTTCCATATGAGTTGTAAGGAACAAGAGACTATTAGAGACAGAGATGATTCTAAGAATTGCATAAGTAAATGTAAAGAGTCGCGTGGGTAGTATATATACGAAAAACGTGGTCACGCGCGTAAAGGACATGCAGGTGCGTGCAATAGGTCAAACCTCACACTCTTGGTCACGCATCATACATATATATATGCACGTATTTTCTGCCATGTAGCAAACAATTTGAAAAGTTCAAACAAATTTAGTCGCAAAACTTTCTCTGATGCAAGGATTTATATAATATTAAAAACATTCACATTTTAAATAAAATTTTTTCCAATGATATTTAATAAGACAAAATTTTCTAATTTAACATTTAATTAGAAACATTTTATTAACAGGGAGAATGTCAAAATGTTGAGAAAAAAAATTGTCTTAAGGGCATATTCTTGTAAGAAAGCGCCATCTACATTTAGTTTCGATGTAGATGGAGCTGTCCTACAAGGACACGCCCTTAATTAATACACCCATAGAAAAATGGTATATATTTGTCTCACAACTAAATAAATATTTATTTGTCGAAAATAAATATTTATTTATTAAACATAAATATTTATTGCAAATAAATTTTATTTATGAAAAATAAAATTTTTATTTTTTATAAATAAATGCGGACTGAGACAAATATAAGTTTATTTAATTCAAATAAAAAAAAAACATTTCTCTGGGGTGTAATGAATGAGGAAGAAAAAAGGAATAAGAGAAGAACGACGAGGAGTGAAGAAAAATAGAAGAGATATAGTTATATATACAAGAGAGAGAGAGAGAGAGTATATATATATAAAAAGGACAAAATCAACATGGATAACATGTCCTTTTGTTAGCCAATGTCCTTTTATGAAGTTGCTATATCCCGCAGTAGCATATACTTGGAAGTTAGTACATCAGTTCTCTCTCTTTCTACTGGTGCGCATACGACACTATTGCATCCAACATATAAATATATCTCCACCTGCACCCCATCCTTCTTCGATTTCCACGAAGAGGAACACGCGCCTCGGATTCGTTCTCGTACTATCCTTTTTCCTCTATACTAACCGTATAGTTCGATCGCGCGTTATCGACACGCCGTATCGCATTTAATTTATCGCCTTCTCGTCGCGCCGCAGGATTAGAGAACGAGAAATCACGGTTAACGCGCTACCAATCAAGCGTACACGCGGTTTGCCGACGCGGACGATTCGATGAAGGGAAGCAGAGAGAGAGAGAAAGAGAAAGAGAGGGAAAGAGGAATGTTGTCCATTTACAGAAACAACAAAAAAAACAACAAGAAAACAGTGCACGAGAAATAGGAGGGAGTTTGAAAACTAGACAAACAATGAGATAAGGATATAGAAATAATTTTCTATTTTCTGAGAAAAGATTTTTTGAATACCTATTAATATAGTATATAACATATATATAATATATAGCCTATCATATATACCTATTACCATAGCAACCGTTTCCATAGCAAATGGGACTATAGCAACTGGTAACATAATAACCGGTACCATATAGCAACTTGTACCATAGCAAATGATACCATATAGTAACCAGAACCATAGCAACTAGTACCATAGTAACCAGTACCATATAACAACTAGTACCATACAGTAACTGGTACCATATAGTAAACGGTATCATATAGCAACTGGTACCATATAGTAGTCGGAAACATATAGTAACCGGAACCATAGCAACTGGCATCACAGTCACCGGAACCATACAGCGACTGGTTCCATATAGTAACCGGTATCATAGAAAGTGGTACCATATAGTAATCGGTGCTATATAGTAACTGGTACCATATAGTAACCGGTACCATATAGTAACCGGTACCATATAGTAACTGATACCATAGCAACTGATACCATATAGAAACCGGTATCATAGAAAGTGGTACCATATAGCAACTGGTACCATATAGTAACCAGAACCATAGTAACAGGTACCATATAGTAACCGGTATCATAGTAACCGGTATCATAGAAAGTGGTACCATATAGTAAGTGGTACCATATAGTAACCGGTATCATATAGTAACCGGTACCATATAGTAACCGGAACCATAGCAACCGGTACCATAGCAACTGGTACCATATAGTAACCGGTATCATAGAAAGTGGTACCATATAGTAACCGGAACCATAGCAACTGGTATCACAGTAACCAGTACCATATAGCAATTGGTTCCATATAGTAACCGGTATCATAGAAAGTGGTACCATATAGTAATCGGTACTATATAGTAACTGATACCATAGCAACTGATACCATATAGAAACCGGTATCATAGAAAGTGGTACCATATAGCAACTGGTACCATATAGTAACCGGAACCAAAGTAACAGGTACCATAGTAACCAGTATCATTGAAAGTGATACCATATAATAACCGGTACCATAGTAACAGGTACCATATAGTAACCGGTATCATAGAAAGTGGTACCATATAGTAACCGGAACCATAATAACAGGTACCATAGTAACCGGTACCATATAGTAACCGGTACCATAGCAACTGGTACCATATAGTAACCGGTACCATAGCAACTAGTACCATATAGTAACCGGTACCATAGCAACTGGTACCATATAGTAACCGGTACCATAGCAACTAGTACCATATAGTAACCGGTATCATAGAAAGTGGTACCATATAGTAACCGGAACCATAGCAACTGGTATCACAGTAACCAGTACCATATAGCAACTGGTTCCATAGTAACAGTATCCATGACAACCGTTGCTAAGGATTTTTTCTCCCTAGCAACGATAATATTAACACGAAACCCTGTGATGGAGGCGTCATGGGCCTGCTTTTCTCATATATATATATATATATATATATTTTTTTTTTTAAATCAAAATAATCTGAAACAATTTGAAATGAAGTGGAAAAAAAGAGAGTATATAGTAAAAGATTATGCGAGTCAAAATGAAGATGGAGATAGCAAGAGAGGACAAAAGGACCTTCTCTTGTGCACATTCTTGCTCCCACGTTATCCACGGCACGAGTCTGACATTACATAAAGAAACACCCGCTGCTCCTGCCGCCCACTGACCAATGTTCATCGAACCGTATCGTCTTGATTTTGTACCAAAAGAACTTACATTCTGTATTCCTACCATGTCAGAAAGAGAGAGGGAGAGAGAGGAAAAAAGAGAGAGAGAGAGAGATTTATAACTTCCTGTTTTATACCCAATTTAAATGAAAAAATACCAAAATTAATTTTTTATAATCATAACACAAAATATATTCCAGAAATATTCCAGAGGAAGATTCCAAATATTCCACAGGAATATGTAAGGTTTTTGAATTTAGAATAATAAACAGCTAAAAAATACAGAACAAACAAATGTATAACTAGTTCAAACTTGTTTATGTACGCGAGAAGATTTATATGTAACGTGATATTCATTATTAAAAGTCAATTAAAAGCATATAAGAGAGGGAATTGTAAGAAGAGTGATTGTTATATGCGTTTTCAATGCATTATCATATAAGGGAGAGGATTTTATTTTTAGATCACTTCCTCGTTTAAAAAATAGGACATTTCTCCCATTAATTATACCATATAATCAACTGATATATAAGCAAGAGCTTTTTCCATAAAGCTTATTGTCAAAGTTTCAGTGCAATCTCTATAATATCGTAGAGCGATCCGTTAGTTCTTTTGTGATAATTATTCTATTCCCGACTTAAAAGTAAGTAATATAATTGTAATCTTGTATAATTATTAATTATTTAATAATATTGATTAATGCAATAAAAAAATATTTGTCTTGTTATTGTATATTGTATATCGATACTGTGCGACTTAAAAAATGAAAAAAGAAGTTTCCAAAAAAAAGAGAGAAAATTTGAAAATGTGTGTAAAAAAAGTATTGCATGGAAGAAATTTTGTTAAAACAAAATCAGAGAAAAAATTAGTGTTATCACTTATTAACATCATTCCTCCGGTGGTATACATAAAAATCCAAGTTAATTGTCCAATTACATAACAAATTACAACAATTTCGACGAGACAAACGAGGTTACCGAATTCCATGTGTTCGCAAAGCAAGAGGTGTGTGTTCTTAATAATTTTCAATCACGCACAACGGTAGCTATACATTGTGAAAAAGAAGCTTTTATTTTGTGAGAAAGAAGCTATAACATATATATATATATATATAGAAAAGAAGAACTAATGTATATATACACATTATGCATTTCTTTTTGTAAAATATTTCGATTTAAAAATAAATTAAAAGCATTTTTTTAAAAGTTATTTTCAATTCAAAAATGAAATTAAGAAAGGTATATAATAAAGGAGGCGCATGCAATATTTCTTTTTCAATAATAATTATTACAATCTCATATGAACAATATATGAGCTTATATTGTAATAATGGTATTAATGGATTCAATACATTTTATGCTAAATTTAATTTGTAAGGAATTCATTCTTTTTGAATATATTTTTTACAAGTATATAATCTACATTTATAATATGAAAATCACTTCGTTGTCGCTTCGTCAAAATTAACCTAGGGCACATACACACAGACACCTTGCGTGATGTTTTAAATTGCACACCATTTTAATGGTCACGCAAACATATTTTACATCTAAATCGCTTTATATATATAAATACAAATTATCATCATTCAAAAATGAAACGATAGAAAGAATTTTGCAAAAAATTTTTTTTTTTTTTTATTCCAAAAAGATCCTATTATTTATTTTCTATAATTTATTACACCTGTTTGTAAAACATTTTTAAAAGTTTTTTTCCATTTATGAAATTTTTTGTAATTGATAATCTAATTAAATTCTATTGCGCGTTATTTTATTTCCTATATATTAAAATTTATATCAATTATTCAATTGATCAAAATTATTAAATTTAAATAATTTGGAGTCAATACACTATATTTCACATATAAAATTATTGCAATTAGAAAAAAAAACCAGATAAGATAGTAATAGTTTTCAATATCTGTATTGTAATTTTTTTTTAAATTTGAATTTTAATGTTATAAGCAAAAAAAAAATGTATTTTAACAGGTGGATAAATATAATAATCATAAATAATTTTGCCAATTTCTTTACTACAAATTATTCATTAATTTATTTATTCAAAAAATTAATAATTAATATTTTTTTCTAATAAAAATCATATCTGATCTCATATATAAACTATCGATCGCTTATATTGAACGCACAAAAAAAATTGTCGATCGAGAATTCAATATTAAATTATAAAAAGAAGTTACAGAAAAAATTTTTAAGGTGAGTCGAGCTAATTTTTGTTTTGACAAATTTTTCCAATTTAAATAATTTCATTGATCCTCACAATCTTTATGTATAATTTAAATATCGCATAATTTTAAAGCTAAATAAGAAACTCTGTTAAAATATGCAAAAAACGATTAACAACTGTCTATTTGAAATTATTGAATATTGATGTCAAAAAAAAAAAGAAAATAATATTCGAAAAATGAAAGAGCCTACTGAAATCGCCTATATATAAAGGATGATGGTATATCGGTGCCTCAAGCATCTTTCTTAGTCTCGGGCTACTATTCTATGCATACGGAATTGTTGCTACACTAAGAAGCCGCGAGGAAAAGAATTTATTACATAAACTAATTTAGAGTCTACGTGATGTACGAACGCGCTCGAGGTTCTTGTGTATAAATGTCCATAGAAGAAGTGTAGTAGTCGCGATATACTCGAGAGATGCCCCATTACAATAATGATGCACGATAAGTATGGAATATGATGATATAGAAATTGCAAGTGTACATCGTTGATATTACGATACCAATCTCATATCTTTACTATCACAAAATAAAGATCAAAAAAAGTAAAATTAAAAACATGACCAATATTTAGATTTTCAGCCATGGTCCATAATTGTCGATATTTTAAATTCAAACGAGCGTTTATAATATACCAAATTTGCGCATTCTTAAATTTATTACCAAGATAAAAAAATTCTAAAAACTACCAAAAAAAATTTTAATTCTAAAAAAAAATTTTTTTTTTACCAATAAATAAGACAATTTTATTTTACAAAAATGAAATGGGGAAATCTCTTTTAAACGCCGGAAGTGATTGTTACACCTTTTTTCGCAGAAAGGGCGCAATTATCAAAAAAAAAAAGAAAAAAGTTAAAAAAAAAAAAACAAGTGCGAAGACAATTTGGCACTTGTTGAAATAAACTTTTCTCTGAAGTGCTATCCCAGAGAGGATGAGCGAGCTCTTTCTCTCTTTCTCAATAACTGCGCTTGGAAGATTTTTAACGATCTTAAAAAAGCGTGAAATCAAGGATATGATATATACGTAAAATTATAGCAAAAAAGAATATTTTACTCTCGCATTCTCGCCCTTGAATTATTCTCAGGAATAATCCTCTTTTTCTTAGGAAAAATCTCAGAAGTTTTTTTTTTTCTAATCATTATTTGAAAAATAAAACAAAATATTCAAAAAAAAAAAATTTTCATGAAGTAGAAATAGTAAAAAAAAAATTACAATTTGGAGAAAACGTAAAAATTTCAAAAATTGTATAAGAACACGGAAAAAAATCTTCATCTGGAACAGCGATAAGTTTCACTAGAACAGGGAAAATTTTCGCTATTCTAAAGAAACATCGCTGTTTTAGATAAAAAATTTTTTCCTTAAAAATACTAAATCTCAGAAAAAGAATTTTTTTTAACAAATAATTTAATTCAAATAATCGGTTACTTGATAATAAAAATAATTACTTGGACCAAATAATTTTTTTTTTAATTGAATTAAAAAAACTGTATTTAAACCTTTTCCTAAAATTTGTAAAATATTTACTATAATTTCCACTAAACTTATTGAAATTACTTAAATTCAATGATATTTTCTCTATTAGTGATGAGAAAAAATTTCTTCAAAATCTTGAAACTACAAATTTCGATTTACTTTTATTTATTTTTTTTTTTTTTTGATAAAAAATATAAAATACCAGAGACTTGAAGTAATATCAAGACTGTCGATTTGAAAGCTCTAGAAGCTATCGACGTAAATCAATAAGTAAGGGAGAAGAACTATAGAACAGCTGCTGCTGGACATTCTATATAGCCGAGAGATCGCGTTTTCAACCCGTTCACATTGTAAGAAATCGCGCGCTCTCTGGTAGCACCATAAATAATGATTTTGTGCATCGGTTTTGGGTCCATTTGATTTATATACCCAAGTCGATTGTCTTTTATCTGCAAAAAAGCATTGTCATATTTTTCTCAATATCTTGCAAAAAAAAAAAAAAAAAAAGAAAGTGCGTATCATTTATAAAGTCATCGTTTTATATAAATACTCTGTTTAAAGAAAGATATACAAAGTGTTCAAAACTGCATTGTCAGTTTTATTAATTCCAGAAAAGAGGGAAAAGGAGTATCATATTATATTATAAATCAAATTCATTTTTTTTTTAAAATACAGGTTTTAAATTCAAAACTTGCGTAATTGCTTTCAGAAACAATTGATCAACCTTTTTCAATTTGATTAATATTTTTATATAAAAATGTATAAGAAATGAGGAAGAATTAAAGGGGTACAATTATTATTCAATTAATTTGTCAAACTTTGCTCGAGAGTTTTTTTTTTTTGAGAATAATTACCTGTTATTAACTTAATAAGAATATATGTATATAATATTCCAAAACAGGAAGGTGTAGAATAATCTTTGGTGGAAAAAAAAAAATATATATTTTTTCAGTAATTTTCAAACGGTTACTCAATAAATTTTAAAAAGTTTTTAGTTGTGAATCATAACTCACGATAAAATACGGGACGTTTTTATCGACTGCTCTTCTCTGACGGTAGCGAGCTAACTTACACTTAACCAATTTTCGCAGAAACTCAGTTTTGCATGATTACGCTCCCCTTTCCCCTCTCAACTTTTATCTACTATAGGCAACAACTATATATCCCGTGAGAAAATTTCATGGTAAATTCTTTATTTATTCATAGTTTTCCTATAAACCATAGAATTTTTTTTTCAAGTTTCTATTTTTTATTTATAACAATTATACCAATTTATATACCGTTATATAATAATTTACTTTTTTTTTTAAATTTAAACTGGATAATTATCAATTAATTAATAATTAAGCATTTTTTTGTGCAATTAATTTAGAATTGAAGGAAAAATAAAATAAATAAAATTTATAATAATATATATATGGTACAATAGCAACTGGTACCATATAGTGACCAGTACCATATAGTGACCGGTACCATAGTAACTAGTACCATAGTAACCGGTACTATATAGCAACTGGTACCATATAGTAACCGGTACCATATAGTAACTGGTACCATAGCAACTGGTATCATATAGTAACCGGTACCATGGCACTTAGTACCATAGCAACTGGTACGATATAGTAACCGGTACCATAGCAACTGGTACCATATAGTAACCAGTACCATACAGTAGTACCATATAGTAACCGGTACCAAGGCACCTAGTACCATAGAAACTGGTACGATATAGTAACCGGTACCATAGCAACTGGTACTATATAGTAACCGGTACCATAGCAACCGGTACCATATAGTAACCGGTATCATAGAAAGTGGTACCATATAGTAATCGGTACTATATAGTAACCGGAACCATGGCACCTAGTACCATAGCAACTGGTACCATATAGTAACCGGTACCATAGCAACTGGTACCATATAG